CAACCGCAGGCGAGGGCGCCAGCGGCGAGTCAGGTCCGAGCGGGCCGCGCAAGAGCTGAATTGCCCAACGCCGACGGGCCGGCGACCTCAGCAGCGCCTCGGCGGGCGGGCCGGCGTGAGGGGGAGTGCAAGCTGCAGCTGCCAGGGACCAAGTCCAGGAGCGCGCACATGCAAGATTAACCAACCAGGATTGGGGCGCAGCCAAAATGGCGCGAGGGCCGTACCAGGATGTGACCAGGGAGGCAACCAGCCAGTACACTGCGTCGACTGCCATGGGTGCTCACACTGGCCCAAAACTGGTGCTGGTGGGGATTCGCGAAGCGTCAACAACTCGCGAATCGACGTGTCAGGGTAGGAAGTCTGTCCGCCTCTGGACCCCTCAAGAACATATATGAGGCTCTCCGCCGGCCCAGGCGGACGAGGCCTCGACTGGTGCCCTCGCCAGGGAGGCACGGGAGCAGCCCGCGCGCACGGAGAGCAGCGCGGCACTCAGTGGGCCCCGGAAACGGCAAGGCCGTGTTTGCACTGTTTCCGCAAAAGTGCCCCTTGAAGATGGAAGCGGCAACAAAAAAAAAAAACGGCGACCGGAAACGGCAACAAAAACGGCTCCAGGCGTGGAGCCGGAGCGGGAGCCCGTAAGAGAACGGCGACGGAACCGGTGAAAAAACGGCGTCGGAACCGGCAACAAAACGGCACAGTGGAACCGGCAGAAAAAACGGCCCTGTCGCTTCCAGGGCCCACTGAGGCATGGTGCTCTCCCCGTGCCGACCCCGATCTCATGCAGCAGGATCTCGATCACGAGAAGCCTTGCACAAGAGAAACCTGGCCCTGCGACCCCAGGGCGTCCCTTGGTTTTCGGTGTGGGAGCGTCACGCTTTCCGTCGCAGGACCATCGAAGCACAAGAAACCAGGGGCAGCCTGGAGGCAAGCGGGGTGCTTCTTGACATGGGTTTCCACTGTACCTCGGCCCGACCGTACGGTGCGGGCGCGGCCGCAAGAAACCCTCGCAAGAAACCCAACCCTGAAAACCCGTGCACGAGGTACACCTGAGGGGAAACCCGGAGCACCCTGAACGCAGCAGCTCCTTCAACGGCCGCGGGAAGCCACTGCCCAGCGCGCGGAGCGAATAAATCCAGGATACCCTGACGAAAAGCAGATGGTTTCTTGATGCGCGCCCCCACTGTATCTGACATCGTGCCCCCCTCCCACCCGTCCCTTCCCGTGGCGCCGAGGGGTTCTCTCTGTTCGCCGAGGGGTGCGCCAGCGGGCTTTGGGTCCTCCCACCCTCAAGTGACCCCCTGTCGCGTGACATGCGCAACCGAGCAGGGGAGCGTTTGTGCACTCTGGGCAAAGGCGGTGGCGTCGCGGCAGGAGCCTGCCCTGGTGGTGCTGGCTAGGCCGGGCACGCTTGAGAGCCTCCTGGACTCGGCGGCGACGACAGGGGCGAATAGCCCAGGGGCGGGCATTACACGTATTCGCCCGGGAACCTTTTCGAAGACATAGATCATCGGCGCACCTGAATACATGTATTGCTCTCCCCTGGGCTATTCGCCCCTGTCGTCGCCTCTGATGGACGGGCGGGCGGGGTGCGAAAGAGGATGAGAACGAGGGAGACGAGGAGTCTATATGGAAAAACGGGCGACGAGGAGCAGCGGCAGCAGCAGGAGCAGGATCGGCGGGAAGGGGTGGGGCAGGAGGTTCTAGTGGGCCCTGGAAACGACAGGGCCGTTTTTTACCGGTTCCGTTGTGCCGTTCTTTGTTCCCGGTTCCGACGCCGTTTTGTTGACCGGTTCCGTCGCCGCTTTTTGGCCGGTTCCGGCTCCGGTTCCAATCCTGGAGCCGTTTTTTGCCGTTTCCGGTCGCCGTTTTTTTGCCGTTTCCATTTTCAAGGGACACTTTCTCGGGAACGGTGAACAAAACGGCCCTGCCGTTTCCGGGGCCCACTAAGGGCAGGAGGGCCGGGGAAGGCGGGGGAGGGGAAAAGGCGAGGGGCAACGCGACAACGCAGGAATCGGATGCAGAAATGTGGCCCTGCGCCGGGGAGAGCGCGCCCTCCCTGCAGAGACGGAGCAGAGCGCCGATCCTGAAACGAGGCCACCTCTGCCGCGGGAGCATAACTTCGAGTAAGACAGAAACGTCCTGATGGGGAAGAGAACAATGCTGCGCGCCCCGCTCGCACAGCACACTGGGAATGGGGAGACTTGTGAATTATTTCCTTCGTTCATGTGGGCCTACCACGAGATGTTCTCCGAGCAAATCACGTCCAATTGCAAAGCAAACGTTCTTATCACATACTGCCGACGACTGAAAAAATGCGGTCCGAGCCAGAAATGTGCCAAGAAGATCCCGCCCAAACCACAAAACATATTCTTAGGACATCCTTTGGTGGGCTTATAGGCAAGCTGGGACGCCTCGCCACTGCTTGAGCACTCAGATTGGGTAGCTGTAGGATGAGTGGGGCTTGACAAGTCGAGTCGAGGAAACGGAGGAGGATGAGTAGGGCTTGAGGAGTCGAGGAAGCGGAGGAGGAGGAGGAGGAGGAGGAGGAGGAGGAGGAAGCCCGGTTCATGGAGGCCACAGAAGAGGCGACGCGGGCGCGAGACTCCAGGCCCCCCCCTGGACAGGGACGCTGCCAAACAAAAACCAGGACGCTGGCGCGCCCGAGCAAACTGCAGCCGCACATCCTCCATGCTTTCGGAGAGAAGTCAGACTCGGGCTTGGGGGGCCCTGGTCGGCCTGCGGGGGCCATCATGGGAATGACAAGACCCCGTCTGAAGATTGGCGCGGGCTCCCGCCGCAAGCACCCCGCGAAGCCTGGACCCTCCAGAGCGGGAGCGCGCTCGTCCAGACGCGTCGGCAAACCCGGGCTCCGCAGCGTGCTCGAGTCTGGCGTTCCCCCGATTCTTCGTCCTCTCCAGCTGGAATTCTTGAGATCCTGGTTTCGGGGATGGACAGACCTACCTTCAGTAAAACGTGGTTTAGCGGAAACGACCTGAGGCCCAAACCTGGCGGGCGCGAGCCTGGAAAATAACGGCCGCGGCGCCCTCTCGAGAACCGAGAAAGGACAGTTCACCAATCGACGTGTCACTGTTGGGGGTTCTGTCCACCCCCGATGGTTGGCACGTCCCTGGTCCAGGGGGCCCGAGAGCCCGAGGGAGCCCGAGCACGGGACAGGTGGGCGGAAGGTTCAGTGAGTATCGTTTACAGGGCAGTCTTTAATACATAGATTTGTGAAACTATAGGATTATTAAGACATGATTCATTTAGGGATAAAGTTATGCATGAACTCATCGTTGTTCTTAATACTAGATCCCTGAATATTTCATGCATGATCCGCACGCGGAGCATGTATTAAAAACGGCACTGTAACCGATCCCCATCCCCAGCGGCGTGGCCCGGGGCCCATTGGACGATATTTACCCCCTCGATGGGGACATAGGTCGTTCCCTTCGGGATTCGAGGGGCACATCCCCAACTGGGGTGGTACCTTGGTGGGGGTCTCGAAGGGGATGGGGATGGGGATCGTTTGAAGGATACCGAGGAAGGGTCAAGGAGCAGCGGGGAGCCTGGCAACGAACCGCCGCGCGGCAGCTGCCGGCGGGACCGCCTCGGAACGGCAGGCGGGCCCCGTGCGAGCTGCCCGCGGGAAGACGCGGGACGCGCGGCCTAACACTAGGAGTGGGGAGCCTGGCGAAGTCTGAGATCTGGGCGTTGCAAGGTTTTCGCAACCCGCGTATTCTTGGTGGGTGCAAGAACGCCCCTACCCTGGGTTGCAAGTGCGCGGTCCGCGAACCTACTGGGAGCACCCAAAGGCGAAAAAAAAAAGAAAATAGAAACAAAAAAAAAGGAAGAAAAAAGGGAAAAAGGAAGAAAAAAAACAGAAAATACTGTGAAAAAAAAAAAAAAAAAAAAAGAGAAAAAAAAGAAAAGAAAATAGAAAAAAAGAAAAAGAACTCTGGGATAAGAAAAAAAAAGAAAAAAAAAAAAAAAGGGGCAAAAGAAAAAAAGAAGAAAAAAAAAAAAAAGAAGGACAAAAAAAAGGAGGAAGGAAAAAGAAAAGAAAAGAAAAAAAAAGAAAAAAAGAGACTGGGAAAAAAAAAAGGAAGGAAAGAAAAAAAAAGAAAAAAAAAAGTAAAAAAAAAAAAAAAAGGAAAAAAAAGAAAAAAAAAACGAAAAAAGAAAAAAAGCCGACCCACAGTCCGAGAATTCGGTGAAGACCGCGCGACAGCGCGCGATTTGCAGGGTTTTTACCCTGTCATCCCACAGAAGGTTCAGCGCACAGCGCCTCGTAAACCAGGGTAGGGGCGTCTTTTACACCCTTGATTTTCGCCCGTGTTCGGGCCCCAGGCCCATCACATACTTGTCGGGCTGAAGAGTGGCTCAAAAAATCTGGGTCGAGGGCTCGGGTCGTGACTTCCGCGATGCTGCAATTTTTCGCGACGTCCGATCTCAGGGAACAGGGATCGCGGAGCGCCTGGGGCCACAGAACCCATTGGGTGCTGGAGCTGCTCGCCCGCCTTTGCTCATCATGCGCTTCTCTGTCCAGCACCAAATTTGAAAGAAACAGCGGAACATGTTCAGGCATGCCTGTGCGGCAGTGCGCAGGACGCCCAAGGATTGACCACCCCTGAGACTTCGAGGTGGTGGCGCAGACTGGGAGGGAGACGGGGCGGGAGAGCCCGGCCAGCCGGGAGAGCCGAGCGCAAGCGAAGATGTGGGGGGGGGAGCAGGTAACGCAGGCGTCAGCAGCTGCTGATGCCGCTCCTCCCAGCTGAGCCAAACTAGCATTCTACCTTTCTGCGAATTCGGGGAACCAAAAGACAGAGGTATACCGACGCCGCTGCTCCCCGGAACTCTCCTGGGGCGCGCGCCCCGACCCGCACTCCGGAGAGAACCCAGCCGCGGTGACGATCGAGGGCCCTCCGCGACGAGCAACGGCGGGGGCGGGCCCTTCCCTCTCCCGAGAAATCTCTGGCCGAGGTGCGGCCGGGGCCCGCTGCTCACTGCAGCTGCGGCAGGCCGTCGGAGCCGCTGGGGATGTCCAGCGGCTGCCGGTCCACGGCCAGGAACCGCGCCAGCCCCGCCGCGCGCCGGGCCCGCGCGGCCCACGCGGCCAGCGCCAGCGCGCCGCCGGCGCACGCTGCCAGCGCGGGCAGGGCGGCGGCGTGCCAGGCACTGCTGCCGGCGCCCGGGAGTCGAGCCGGGCCGCGCAGCACGGCGTGCTTCTGCATCACGGCCTTCTCGAGCTGCACACCGGGGGTGGTCGGGCTCGCCGCGCCGGCGCTGGCCAGCGGCTCGTCCGAGTTGTACTCCCGGATGGAGCTGCGCACCCACTTGCCAGACTCCGACAGGTCCCCCTCCGACCAGCCGCCAGAGCCGCCGGCTCCGCCACGCAGCGCGGAGCACGACTCCTCCTTGTTGCTGATGGCCCAGTTTGAGTCCGAGATGTGGTTCTCCTCCATGAAGTCCTGCCACGCCTGGGACTCCTCCAGGTCCAGGCGACCATCGCCTGTGTATTCGCAGGTGCCCCATTCGGTGGCGAAGATGGCGGCGCCGTTGGCGAGCGCGGTCGAGACCTTCCCTCGGAGATCGGCGCCCATCGAGGCGGCGTAGAAGTGGACCGTATAGGCCAAATTGTCGCCCTGGACCGGGTCCTGCGAGGCCACGTCCACCTCCTGCGACCAAGTCCTGGTGCCCAGGATGATTATGTTGTCGGAATGCTCCCGGATCACAGGCACGATCTGCTCGTGGTACGGCTTGATGACACCCGACCAGTCGACCTGTTGAGGCTCGTTGTACGTCTCGAAGAGCACATGGGGCTTGTCGCCATACTTCTGGGCCATCTCGCTGAAAAAGGCCTTCGCCTCCTCGACGTGGTCCTCGCCGTGGTAGGCATGCCAGTCGATGACCACGTAGATGCCCACGTCGATGCAGGCGTCCACCACTGCCTGCAGCTTCGCCTTCTCTGCGCTGGGGTTCTCCAGGTACCCGCCCTGCTCAACGCCCATAGCAGCGCGGATGAACGACACGTGCCAATCCTCCTTGAGCCACCTAATGGTGTCGGGGTTCCAATACTGCCCCATCCACTGCGACCAAAACATGGACATGCCTCGCAGACGCACCGGCATCCCGTGCTCCCCGACGATCGTGTTGCCCTGGACGCGAAGCCTGCCGTGCTGCTTCACAGCCTCGACGTTCGGCACCAGATTGCCTGCGGCTGGCGCGAGCGCAAGCGTTGGTGCGGGTGCCGCAGCCGTTGGAGCTGGCGTGGGAGCTGGCGTCGGAAACGCCTCGAAGCTGGAGTCCACCACGGTGACGTTGTAGGTTTTGTCGCCCACTCGCATGCCAATGACACCGCCCTCGACGAGCGCGTGCGTGCCATCGAAGCTGAGGACCAGCTCTGTTCCAGCACCATCCTCCTTATGTCTCTCTGTGCTATCCTCGCACCAGGTCGCCGAACCGCACGAGCTGCACGCGGCCTGGGACTTGCTGCAGTAACTCGTAGGCCCGGCGATGGCCATCGGCAGGCAGGTGCCGCAGAAATCCGTGAGGTCGTCTGCGGCCCAGCAGCAGAAACTCCCACGGTCACCGGTGCCACCTGATGCCATGGCAGTCCTGATGCGCATGGCCAAAGCCGCCGTGGCGGTGACAACGGCAACTGCGCGCTTGGGCGCCATTGCTCAGCTCAGATCAGTTCGATGGACACGGGCTCCTATACTTCTGGGCCTGGTACTTCCAGCCAAAACTGCTCGACAAAAAAAACGGATTGGAACCAAAGGGCTACGGCTGCGATGAGGAAGAATTGGAACATGATCGGGCACGTGGGCGCTCACCTGCTGTGGATTACATTCTGGTCTCAGACACAATCAGCTATCGGGGGAACTCTGTGGGTGGGGTCTACGTAAGAGTCACCAAATCGTCTATCGCGACCCGTGGCTCACGACGGACGCCACAATGCCCCTGAGCACACCCTCAAGTCGGCACGTTGCCTGAGAGGGGCCCCCACTCGGGGACCAAAAGGGAGTGGACGAAGAGAAGAACGCGGTGTATTGGTGCCCCTGCAAATGCAATCACATTTCCGATCATGCACTCAACCATTCCATGGAATCACAGTGGCCATGAACACAGGCGCTTCCCTGACCAATAAATCAACTCCGAGACACAAACATTCATTTGCTCGCGCACGTAGACAAAGGGACCCGGGCGAAATCGTGCTCGGCTGCCGTATGGTGCTTAGACAGCGTGGGAGGCAACGTTTCTCCATAGCCATGCTTGGTACTCCCATGCAGGGCCCCATTTCGTCATTTGAAGCGGAGGCCTGGTTGCCTGAAGCATGCGGCTGTCAGATTGATGACCTGAGCTCCGGCGAAAGAGAAAAAGAAAGGACAAGGAGGAGGTTTGAGGCGACCGGGGTTTCTGAACTGGTGGGGACACCAGGAAACGGCCAGGAGGGTTGTGGGGGGGGGACGCCAAGTCCGCCCAAAAACTGTCCCCGGACCCCTCCCGGGGTGAACTTTCTCACCCCGGATCGGTTTTTCACGGGCATGCGGGGCCCGGAAGCGGCCCCTGGAGGTGGGAAAAGGCAACAGGAATCTCTGAAGGGAAACTGTGACACACAAATGAATACACACAAATGGAAAGATTCCCCTATATTTTCCCATATTTTCTATGTTTTGTCTTCCCCACCACTTCCCATATTTTCCCATATTTTCCAAGGGGATCGACGATTAATTGTGTCTGTGTGTTTTTCCCCCTCCTGAACCTCCCCGAGGCCCAGCGCCTCGCACCTGCCCGCCTGTCTTGCTCGCCGGGGCCAGTGCCACGGGCCACCCCAGGACCCCAGACGGCGGTTCCAGCACGCGGAGACCGTTTGGCGGAACCCGGGGCGCCCAGGCCGCCGGGTCCGCGTAGAGCCTCGTCGGGGGCAGGTCGTACGCCCTGCAGACCCTCCTGTACAGGTCGACCTCGCGGCCTGCCCACGAGACGGCCCCCTCAAGAGGAGGGCGGGGGGGGGGGACGAGGGAGGCGAATGGGGGGGAGGGCGCAGGAGGGGCAGGGCGGGGAAACCGAGAATGGCCGATGAGGGGGGGGTATGGGGCGGGGGGGGAGGGGACAAGATAGGCACGCTCGCGTCATATCTGACGTCCAACCCCTCCCTCCCATCCCTTACCATGGCGTAGATATCCTCTCTATTCGCACAATCGGATGTCGAACCGGGCAAAGATCGCGAGGGTGTGCGCGATGCATGGTAAGAGCACGGCATGGCATGGCGCAGAAGAGCACGGCAGAGCGAAGCACGCCATAGCATGGCGTGGCATTCCGCAGTGAAGCATCGAACCACAAAACGTTGCAACGCACAGAATGGCATCGCACAGCGGCGCACAACACAACACCGCACAACATGTCATGGCATGGCGCCGGGCTCCTTGGAAGGTAGGTGGATCGTCTTCGAAGGGTCTGGGCCGGTCTGGAATCGCGGCTCCATGTCTACCTCCCCAAGGTCGCCTGCTCGGGCGCAAGAATTGAATATAAACGGGCTTGAATATTGACGGTCTGGGAGCGAATCTAACTGTGAATGGGTTGTAGTGTGGATGAACCTCAATAGTACTAGTGCGCCTCTGCGCATGAGCCTGAAGCCTCCTGTGGCCTCCTGAAACCTCCTGGAGTTTCCCAGTGATTCCTGGAGCCTCTTGGGGCCTCTTGGGGCCTCTTGGAGCTTCCTGTGGCCTCTTGAAACCTCCTGGAGCCTCGTGTGGTCTTCTGGGGCCTCCTGGAGCCTCCTGGCGCCTCTTGGCGGGGATTCGTGCCCCAAGAGAGGTCCGATCTATAGGAACAGACGTAAAACACTTCGGATTGGAGCCACAGGAGAGGGACAGTCTACAGGAACACGCGTACAACACCAGGAACATACGTAAAACACTTTGGATTCGAGCCAGTCCTGTGGCATTCTGAGGTCTCCTGCTCCTGGGGTCCCGTGGGGGTTCCTGGAGCCTTCTGGGCCTCCTGGGGCCTCCTGTGGCCTCCTGTGGCCTCCTGTTGCCTTCTGCTGCTTCCTGGGGCCACCAGGAGCCTCCTATGGACTCCTGGTGCCTGCACAATGGCCTCCTGGGTAGTCTTGGAGCCTCCTGTGGCATCCTGAGGGGGATCCGTGCCCACGGGTCTGGCCAGCAAAACAAGCAAACCGTTCTAGACATCCTTGCAATCTGCGCCCCCTGGGGTGCGAAAGAAAGCCAGCGCCTCGCACGAGACATCCTCCAAATCTGCTCCGAAAGCGGAGAACGGTGAGCTGGTAAGCAAGCAAACCGCTCGAGACATCCCCGCAATCTGGGCGCGAACGGAAGCCGTGAGATACCCCTGGCGGCCTTCCCTTGGGGTGTACCCCTGGCGTCTTGAGGCCTCCTCGGGCCTCGTGTGACCTCCTGGGGCCTCCTGGGGCCTCCTGGAGCCTCCTGGGGCCTCCTGGGGCGGATTCGTGCCCCAGGAGAGGCCCAATATATATATAGGAACAGACGTACATAAAACACTACGAATTAGAGCCGCAGGAGAAGGGCAATCTGTAGGAACACACTAAAAACACCAAGGACTCGTGCCCCAAGAGGCCAACTCTATAGAAACATACGTCAAGCACAAAGAAGTCGTGCCCCAGGGGAGGCACAATCTATAGGAGCATACGTTTCACACATGGGACTGGAGCCACTCCTGTGACCTTTCTGAGGCCTCCTGCTCCTGGGGACTCTTGGGGCCTCCTGGTGCTTTCCGAAGCCTCCTGGTGCCTCCTGGTGCTTCCGGTGGCCTCCTGTGGCCACCTGTTGCCTCCTGTGGCGTCCTGTGGTATCCTGATACCTCCTGGTACGTCCTGTGGCCTCCTGGCGCATCCTGGAACCTGCTGGAGTCTCCTGTGGCATCCTGAAGAGGATCCGCGCCCACGAGTCTGGCCAGCAAAATAAGCAAACCGTTCGAGATCCTCAAAATCTGGCCCCCCTTGGGGGCGAACATGGGCACCTCGCCCGATACATCCTTCAAATCTGCTCCGAAAGCGAAAGATGCTGGGGCACCGAAACAAGCAAACAGCCTGAGACACTCCCGCAATCTGGGCGCGAACGGAGGCCGTGAGATACCCCTGGCGGCCCCCCCTCAGGAGTGCTGAAACCAGCAAACCGCTCGAGACATCTTCAGAATCTGCTCCGAACGCAAAGGATGCTGGGGCACCGAAACAAGCAAACCGCCTGAGACATCCCCGCAATCTGGGCGCCAACGGAGGCAGTGAGATACCCTCGGCGGCCCCCTTAGCAGCGCTGAAGCCAGCAAACCGCTAGAGACATTCCCTCAATCTGCCCTCTTCTGGCGATCATCGTTATCATCAGCATATGATCATCATCAAGGTCGTCATCATCCTCATCATCATTATCATCATCATCACCATCATCACCATAAGCATCATCATCATAACCATCATCATCATCATCATCTCCATCCTCATCATCATCACCATCATCACATTCCATCATCGCCATTAACATCAGCATCGTCAACATCATCATTCTGCATCATCGTCGTCATACTCTTATCGTCAGCGGGGGAGGGGGAGAGAAGGGCGGAGGGTGTGTGAGGGAGGTCCGCGCGGTCACAATAATAAAAATTCACTGCGTGGAGCTCCCCATATGTGCACTTATTAGCATGGATCTGTCCGCCGTGAGTGTCTAGGCGCAAGGTTTTCCGAATCTAAACAGGCTTGAGTAGTGACGGTCTGGGGGTGCATCTAAGTATGGACGAGTTGGGGTGTGATTGAGTCTCAGCAGTACGAGCGCGTCTCTGCGCATGAACCTGGGGCCTCCTAGGGCCTCCTGGAGCCTCCTGGCGCTTCCTGAGGCATTGGGGCAATTCCTGTGTCTTTCTGATGTCTCCTGCTCCTGGGCCCTCTTCGGGCCTCCTGGGCCCTCTTGGGGCCTCCTGGGGCCTCCTGGAGCCTCCTGGGGCCTCCTGGGGCCTCCTGTGGCATCCTGATACCTCCTGGTACCTCTGGCCTCCAGGAACCTCGCGGAGCCTGCTGGAGCCTCCTGTGGCATCCTGAAGAGGATCCGTGCCCACGAGCCTGGTCAGCAAAATAGGCAAACCGCTCGAGACACCCTCAAAGTCTGGCCCCCTCTTGGGGGCGAAACTGAGCGCCTCGCTCGAGACATCCTCCAAATCTGTTCCGGAAGCAGAGGATGCTGGTGACCTAAACAAGCACCCCGCTCGAGACATCCCCACCATTTTGGCGCGAACGGAGGAGTGAAATACCCCCTAGCGGCTCCTCCTTGGGAGCGAACATGGGCGCCTTGCTTGGGACATCCTCAGAAACTGCTCCGAAAGCGGGGGGGGGTGGTCACCTAAGCAGGCACCCCGCTCGAGCTCGAGACATCCCTGCCATTCTGGCGCGAACGGTGGAGTGAGATACCCCCTGACGGCTCCCCCTTGGGGATGCTGAAACCAGCGCCTCGCTCGAGACATCCTCAGAATGTACTCCGCCAGCATCATCATCACCACCTCCACCATCATCATCATCATCATCCTCCTCCTCCTCATCATCATCATCATCATCATCATCGTCATCATCATCATCATCATCACCATCAGCATGACCATCACCATCACCATCACCATCACCATCACCATCATCATCATCATAATCATCATCAGCATCATCATAATCATCATCATCGCCGCATCCAAACATACCATAACGTATCATAATCTGATATGTCAGAGCGCAACATACCATAACATAAAACACCATAATCATAGCACCGTATTGCAGCACAGTCATACCATACCGTATCGTAGCATACCATAACATAACACAGCATGTCATATCATAACATAGCATAATATGGCATGCCCTGGCACACCATATAATAGCATAACATATCATAATTTCACATGTCATAGCATAACACATCATAGCATAACATGAAGAGGAGAGGGAGGAGGAGGGAGTTCGGAGCGGTCAGAATAATATCAAGAACCCCATCCTTTGAATATGGGGAACTATTCACTGCGTGGAGCTCCCCATATGTGCACACGTTAGCGTGGACCTGTCTGCTGTGAGCGTCTAGGCGCAAGGATTGTCGAATATTCACGGGCTTGAGTATTGACGGTCTGGGGGTGAATCTAACTGTGAATGGGTTGGAGTGTGAATGAGTCTCAGTAGTACGAGCGCGTCTCTGCGCATGAGCCTGGAGCCCCTGGGGCCTCCTGAAACCTCCTGGGGCTTCCTGGAGCCTCCTGGGGCCTCGTGTGGCCTCCTGGGGCCTCCTAGAACCTCCTGGAGCCTCCTGGGGCATCCTCAGGAGGATTCGTGCCCCAGGAGAGGCCCAACCTATAGGAACAGACCTACATAAACACTGCGGCGCAGGAGAGGGGTCATCTATAGGAAAACGCGTACAACAAGGACTCGTGCCCCAGGGCAGGCCCAATCTATAGAAACATACGTAGAACAATTCGGATTGGATGCCCAATAAGACAATCTATAGAAAACATACGTAAAAGCACTAAGGACTCGTGCTCCAGGGGAAGCCCAATGTATAGGAGCAGCATACGTACAACACATGGGATTGGAGCCACTCCTGTGGCCCCTTGAGTCCTCCTACTCCTGGGGTCTCTTGGGGCCTCCTGGTGCCTTCCGAGGCCTCCTGGTGCCTCATGGCGCTTCCTGTGGCCTCCTGGGGCCTCCTGTGGCTTCCGGTGGCCTCCTGGAGCATCTTCTTGGAGCCGCCTGCGGCCTTCTGGAGCTTCCTGGGGCCTCTGGGAGCCTCTCGGGGCATCAGGTGGCCTCTTGCATCTTCCTGAGGTCTCCAGGTGCCTCCTGGGACCTCCTGTCATCTCCTGGGGCCTCCTGGAGCCTGCTGGAGCCTCCTGTGGCATCCTGGGGAGGATCCGTGCCCACGAGTCTGGCCACCAAAACAGGCAAACCGATCGAGGCATCCTCACATT